TTCGGTAGGTTTCTCTTGTGACCTGACCTCCAGGACAACAACTATCTCTGGACTGCCTGGTGGGGGCAGCTGCTCTAAGGAACAGTATGGCTGCCAACACCTGTCCTTTCCTTTTTCCCCTGCCCAGTCTTAGCCATCAACCATCCACGGGGGGGCTGGGTCACTCCAGAGCCCTGCAGAACTCATATCCCCTCTCTGCAGCCCAGGACACTGCCTCTGGGAAGAGCCACTTGTTTGGGGACCCTTGCTATCATTCTGCCACTTCCCTGACCCCTGGAACTAGGAGAGATTGGAGCTGTTCAGGGTCTTGAAGCTCCAGCAACCCTGCCTGTGCCCACGGACAGTGGGAGAGGCAAAGAAGTCATGAACACCTCTCCCTGTGCTGGAGTTGGTTATTAGATGGATTTGGCCCTTCCCAGACACATTTGTTCCTGTGGGCTAGGGAGAAGCCGAGGCTAGGGGCGTTGGACACAGGGTTTTGGAGTCTCCTAACTTGCTTAACTTTGCCCTAGTCTTTGTGGTCAGCCCCCTGTTCCCAGCAGATGGACTCATAAAGATCAGTTAGAGGTGGTGGCAGACACAACAGAGAACTGAGTGTGGGTGGTGAAGGAAGCTTGGCAGCTGGGAAGAGCAAACTGAGAAGCTTCTGGAGGCCCAGGTAGCCCTCCTGGCTCTTTCTGGCTACTCTTCTGCAGCCTGGCTTCCCTCTGCCTTTGGCTCCTCTGGTTGCCCATGGCCTCCTTGGACCTGGTCCTCACCTCCTTGGTCAACAGTTGTCTCAGACTCCCCCTCACTGTTCAGGCCCCCTTTCTCCTCTTTCCATGCTCCTGCCTCCGGCCTCCCACTGGTGGCCTTTGCCTTCTCTGTTGTAGCCCCCTGGGTCTCAGGCCTCTCTGCCCGGCGGTAGACGAGGTAGCCAGTTGCAGGAAGCCTATGGGCCAGGGCTTCAGGGGGCAGGCGATGGTAGCCCTGGTCCTTGTAGAGGAAGAGGCCGAATGCATCAGGGTGAGTCACTCGGAACTTGGTGGCACAGAGTTGGCTCAGGGTGGCAATCGAAGACCCCAGGGGCACAGCCAGGGTCTTGGAGGTACAACCTGTACTGGGGTCCTGGTAGGCTACTCGGAGGAGGTGCTGTGCAGAAGACAAGAATAAGTCCTCAGCTATGCTATTCAAGAATAGTCCTCAGCTATTCTCCAGAGCGGAAGGGACAAGGCGGGGTGGTGCACACTCGTGGTAAAATGAACTGACAGGAGCCTCGTGAGCTCCGACGGGACACTGGGGCAGAGAGAAATGTATTTGGGTTAGTGGTATAGGTACAAGGCCAGCCCAGAGGGAGCTTCAGAATCCTGAAAAGATGCCCAAGAGGAGTCCACTGTATGCAAGACTCTGCTTAACTCTTCCTGGGCTAATTACCTAGAACTACCTCCAGCGTTCACCAGTGCACCTAATCTTCGTGCAGCCCAGGTGCCCATTTTAGAGATGAGGAAACCAAGGCACAGGAAAAACGTGATAGAGCTGGGACAAATCTGGGGCCTGGCTACAAAGTCTGGATTCATAGCAAGACTGAGAAGGTTGAAGTTAAAGGGGATGCATCCCGGCCAAGCATAAATGAAGTCCGAGGACAAGGAAGGTAGGGCCTTGGCTGGTACTAGGGACCAAGAAGCTGTCACCCTCCGTGTCAGTTTCTACCTACTCATCTGTAAAATGGGGGAAACAATGGCCCTACTCCAGACTTCCTGTGACATTCAAGGAGGCTGCCCAGGAGCTCACAGCCTGTCCCATGGAACACATTCCTACAGGGCTGCTCTGATACTCAGCTGAGTCTCTGTTTCTATTTTAACTTGATGCAGGGCTCAAGAAACTGCTGGGTGATGTAAGAGTTCCTCTGAGCAAGGCCAATCTGGGGCCGACTTGTGGAAGGGCCCTTTACCTGGGAGCTGTGGGTGGCCGGAAGGCGGCGCTGTTCCCAGAGGGCCAAAGAGCGCTGGAGCTCCTGTGCCGGGCTGAGTGGGAGAGCGCGGGCCTGGCTCAGGCCACTGAGCAAGGCCAGGCTGGCCGAGAGACTGGTCAGGTAGTAGCCACCTAGGACACAGGGTACATAGAATGCAGCTCAGGCTGGGATAGGGCGTCCTGCCTTCCCTTCCAGGCTTTCTCAGGACCTACAAGCAGCCCCGTTTCCACCCAGACGGGAAGTGAGGGGACGTCCCCCTCACCCTCTCCGGTGAGCAGGGTAGGCTCCAGGAGCTCCGACATGTACTCAGCTTCTACCAGGAGGTCAGGAAGGTCGCACTGGGCCAAGACAAGGCTCAGCAGAGGCAGGAACTCATCAGCGCCTGCGTCCTCCCCTGTGGAGATGGAGAAGGAAGGAGTTCCAGCCTCCTCAGAGACCCAAGAGCTAGGGTTCAATCCCCTTCCTAGACAGCGACCCCTCCTCTCCCCCTGCGAGACCCCTAGATAGGACCACAGGGAAGAAAGAGTCTCCTCTCTAGAGCTCCTGAGACCGAGAATTGGACCCCTGTGCCCTGTTTGCAGTTCTGGGATCCTGGGACCTTCTCCCTGAGAGAGGGGGCTCAGTCTCTTCTCAGAAAGAGCTGAGTAGGGGGAGGTGGTGAGGGGCATACCCGCCTGGGTTTTCAGGGCTGTGTAGAGCAACTTGCAGGCCTGCAGGAGCCGCTTGATCTGGGCACTGGGTGAATAGGTGCGGAGCAGCTGAAGCAGTTTCTGGCGCACCTGTTCTGTCTCCACTGGGGAGGAGAGGTGTAGGTGGGACCCGAAGGCCACAAGCCCCTGGGTTCGGGCCAGCTGGAAGCCCTCAGCTAGGCGGCCAAGGGAACCATCTGTGGAAAGCCGGCGCCGCAGGCGGGCAGCGAGGATGGGTCGAAGAGGCTTGAGAACAGAGCGATGTAGGGACTTCTCCAGGACCAGTTCTGGCAGAGGAGAGTAGACAAGATCAGGGGAAAGGGGCCCGGAAGAGCAGGAGGTAGGGAGAGGGGTGAGAGGATGGAAGTCACTGTAGCAGTAGCGAGAAACGGGCAGCGGGGTGCAGAGAAAAAAGCCGCGCGTCATTAGGCACCGAGGCAAGGACGGAGATGGAAGAGGGAGGATGGAGAGCCAGGGGCTGAACCTGTGGAGGCTGGGGCTGGGGCACCTTACCCAGCCTCTGCGGTGGTAGCAGCTTCTCAGGACCCAGTTCTGCACTCAGCATGGCCCGGGCCCGGCTTAGGGCCTGGCGGATGCCCTGCAATTCCCGAGGCTCAGGACCAGCCCGAACCTGAGTCAGTAGGTCCTGCACTAGCTGGCCCACAGCTGTGTATCGGTTTTGCATTAACATTGTGGCCGCCCGGCCCACCTGCCTCTCCGGGGCCAGCAGAGAGCAGAAAGCAGAACTCATGGACCGAAGCAGAGGCCGCCGCTGCCTTGGGCGGCCCAGGCGTGGGGAGGTTGTAGGGCTCCCTGGAGAACCCTCCTCCTCTGAGCTGCTGGGGGAGCAGCAGTCCACCTCCTGGAGCGAAGGTAGGGGAGGAAGGCTAGGGCCGGAAGCACTCCCTGGCACGCGATACCCCACCGAGCTCTCCCTCTGCAGCAGCTGTCGAGAAGGCAGTCTTTCTGTTTGGCTGGAAGACGTCCCTGGCAGCACCGGGACTGGGGGAGGCGGCACAGCAGGTGGGGACAGAGGGCTGGAGGTCTCTGTGGACACACGCACTTTGAAACTTCTCTTGAATTTCTCACGTTTGGTGGGGCCCAGATCTCCTGGGAAGAGAGGGTTGAAGAAGCAGAGGGCTGCACCGGTGCCCTGATCCAGCTCTTGAGGGGAGCGAGCCTTCAGCCTGGGTATCGGTGGGGCTTCGGAAGACCTCTGCTGAACCTTGGTGTTGAGGGAGGAACTCCAGAACTCTAGCAATCAGAAACCAATGGGGGGAGCCTCAGAGCTTGCTCAAGAGGGTGCCCGGTTGCCCTTTCTTCCCCCCCTTTGGCCTCTATGTGTTCATCTGTACAATGGGCTGCAGGGAACCCTTACCCATGCCTAGATGGGAGATGGCCTCCAGCTCCTTGTGGGTGGCTGCCTGATGAATGGCTCTGGGGAGCCGGAGTGGGAGGAGAAGAATGTCCCTAAGGTCAGCAAAAGGAGCGGTCAAGAGAGCGAGGTGCTTAGGTGCAGGAGGTGGGCAGCACTAGGGAGCAGGCCCTGTGGTCACCTGACAGGCAGACTCACCTGGTATGGCAGTATGCACAGATGAGCTGGATCAGGTCCTGGAACGTGAGCTCTGAACCCTCCAAAGAGACGCCTGAGAGACATCGGGAGTGAGGCTGTTCTCTGGGGACCTCCCTCCCCCGCCTGTCTCCAGCCCCTTCCCGCCAGGCCAGCCCCCTCACCGCCAGGGCTCTCTTGGATATAGTGGCTGGAGACAAAAGAGGGGCCACTGGCTTCTGGCAGCCGCACACACAGAGCCTGGCACTGGCGAGTGTTAGATTTCCGTACCAGGAAGGTCTGCAAGCGAACAAGATTAGGAGGCTCAGTGCCTCCATGTTGAGGCGCTTTCTCTTCCCCTCTCCCCCGCTTGGCGGGCCAGTCCTGGCGGAAGGGGAAAGACTCACCCCTGGAGGTTCTGTCCGCAGCACGTGCAGCGCAGCTGCCGCGTTGGCCCGCAACTGTAACCACACAGGTCGGGTGATCAGCAGCCGCTCCCGCAGGCTCACAGTGCGTGCCGGTTGTTGGGACCTGCCTGCCTGTGCCCTGCTGGCGTCGGGCGTGTCATACAGTGGGTCTGGAGATGGCCTGGGGGCAGACACCCGGACTTGAGCAGGGGTCTGGGGTGAACGCCTCTGCCTCTTCCCCGTTCTGGGCTTCCCACCTATCCTGCCTTTGTCGGACCCTCTTGCCACTGCCCTTACCCTCTGCACCAGCTGCCCTCCCAACTTCACTAACTTTTCTTTCTGTTGGTGCCTGGGAACAAAGTTCAGGTTGGCAGCTCCCAGAGGGTGTGCTCCTGTCTCCCCAGGGTCTTCCATGGCTGGGAGCTCCATCAGCTTCTCCTGGGACTCAGGAAGAGAATCCAACCCCCAAGGCACAGGCGTGCACATTCCTGGCGGTGAGTAACACTTCCTGAAGGCGGTTCGGCCTGTCACACCCCGCCAGTTAACTCTTGTATGTCCACTTCATGTGGCCAGTGTCCACCTCTTCTATTCCAGACTCAGCCTTGAATGGCAGGGACCCCCTCCATGTTCCTACCAATTATTAGGGTCCCAGCTGTGGGAGGACCACCTCCATACAGTGCTTCCCATAAGCCTCCTCACACTGAAGCAGGGTAGGGAGGAGTTAAGCAAGGCAGACCAAGTTCCCATAGGCCCAAGACTTACCCCTGGGTCACCTTAAGAAGTCTGCGGTCACTAGCTCATCTGTTCCTGCCTTCGAGAGGGTCGGCCTTGAGGGATAGCACCCCCTACTGGTCGCAGATGACTCATTCCTGAACCTAACTTTGGTTTTGTGATTCCAGGTTGCTATGGAGAAAGGATGCTGTGTCTCCATGGAAACTAAACCCTTTGTTTAACTGAGGTTCTGGGGGTGGTTCTGACACTCACTGCTAACCAGGGGGAGTATGGCTGTGAGGTCGTCAGCACATGGTGCTGCTGCTAGCTGCCTCCCACACAGGCTCTGCTAGCCTGCCTTGCCAATCTGCCAAGAGCAGGTATAGACGTGCAACAGCCCTTCACCACTCAAGGCCATGTGCTCCACTTGTTTGCCTGTGCCACGTGTAGCTTCCAGTTCTGGGTCCAGATTCTTTTCTAAGTCATAATATCCCAAATTCCAGGGACCCCAGAAGAGCCTGTCTCAGGTGTTACCCCATAAAAACCTTGATTCCATTATAAAATAACAGCAGACACAACATCAGTCACGTCAAGGTCCCAGGATAAGTTTTATTCCAGTCTTTGGAATCTGGGAGGCAGACACCAGGAATGGCCCTGAGAAAGTCTGGGAAGCTGTCATCTCCAGCGACAGCTAGGATGGGCAAGACCCCAACATAATGTTTCTGGCTCTAGAGTTCCTCCTGGAGTGGAGCCCAGCTCCTGGCTCGGTGGCTAGGGGGCAGGGTTGAAAGTCAGGAGGGTTGCTGCTTTGGAAGAAGCCCATCTTCTTTGTTGGGGGACACTGAGGAAGTTACTCTTTGGGAGGGGGAAATGGTGGGCTGGTCAGGGATGGAGACAACAGTCTTGTTTGGCCAGGTCAGCTTCAGGGCCACAGCTATGCCGATCTCACGGAGAGCAGAGGCCAGGGGACAGCAGCGACACTGGAGAGCTACTAGGCAACCCCTGCCTTTGCAGGAAAGTGTTAGTCCCGTGTAGGTACCAGCTGAGTGTGAACACAGGGTCAGGGTCCTGGGGGCACAAGGAAAACGCACTGAAAGGACACTGAATCTGGTTGACAACCAGATTCCTGAAGGCACCAAGGGAGACGTCCCTCACCACAGGGTTTCTTTCTCCTGCCCTTGCTGACCCACCCTGCTGCGGGCTCCAGTCCTTGATCTTTCTGGGTCTTAGTCATGCTAGGCAAGCACTCTACCACTGGGCCCTCCATGCCACCTTTACATGCCCTTGTTCCATCGGCCAGAGCTTCCCCAGCTGGTTCCTACTCCCCAAACTCCTACAAAACCCTCAAAGTGAGATCAAAACTACAGATTCTGAGGAGCCGCCTCGCTGGTTCTTACCGTCTGCTTTCCTCTTCTGAGGGGACACTGCTGCCCTGGCCTGGTGGAGAAGAAAGGCCCTTTAGAGTCCACTTCAACCTGCCAACACTGCCCACCACAGCCCAGGGTCAAAGCCGCTGAGAAAAGTTGCATGAAGTATAAAAACTTTCTACACCAAGCTCCGAGGCATCTCTTCTCAGGAGCCAGCCGAGCAGCCGAGCAGCCTCCCCTCTCCTTCCAGCAAAGCTGCCTAGAACAGGGGCTAACGCGAACACATCCTTTCCTCAGCCAGTCTTTAGGCAGGAGGACTACAAGCTATGACAAAGTTGGGGCACCAGGCTAAGGCAGACATTGCTGAGGGGCAAGCAGAAAACTGCCCAGCTACCCTCAGATACCGGAGTTGTCACCATGTGTGCCAGTAGCATGGGGAAACGCAGCAGGGAACCTACCTTTTTGATGGCCGCCCAGTCCTCCAGGATGTCGATTTCCTGCAGCATGTATACGATGTATGGGCCTGCGCAGTGGTCAAGGATGACAACAGGAGACACGCAACAAAGCTCCACCAGATGGCCACAGGCGGCAGTGCCGCCCACCCCCTGCTTAAGAGAGGTGGTGCATGGACAGTGTGGAGGGGGTGCAAAGAGCTTTATTTGAGACATGGTCTCTCTATGTGGCCGTGGCTAGCTTGGAACTCGGAGATCTGCCTGCCTCTGCCTCCTGAGTACTGGGATTAAAGGTGTGTGCCACTAAACCTTGGGTTTAATCCAAGTTCCACCTCCTGCCTCAGGGATCTGTTTTTGGTGAGTGTGGGGACTGTGCTGGGCTAGAACCCTCACCCATTTTCCTTTTTCCACATCAGCTGACCAAGGCCTGTCCCATCCTGAGGAGCCCTGATTCTCCTGTTTTGTCAGGTTCTGTCAGGAACTGGCTCACTGGACCCTTCCTTACCTACAGGAGGATCCTGGCCTCTTCCTCCTAATAGCACTGTGCTCTGTATCTGAAATCTACCTTTACCCACAAAGGTTCAATAAAGCCTCCATCCCGCAACGGTCCCAGGGTTGACACAGTGCTGTGCTGTGTAGCACAGGATGCTCAAAACAGAAGAGAACACATGCACAGGGCTGGGGAATGGACCAGGAGAGACTTCAGAGAGCATCTGGCATGACACCACCTACACGCAATAGCTCCAGAGGGGTTAAGCAAGGCCTCGACAGCATAGGGCTACCCTGGGACATTGGGAAAGACAGAAAGCTTCAGAGGTTGATCCTTACTCAGGGAATTACTAGGAGTCAGTGAGCTGAGGACCTAGGATGCGGAAGAAATTGCTGACAGCTGGACACTGCATGTGACACCGAATGACCATGAATGATCTAGAGTCACTGTCCCACACTCCCCTGAGTCCAGGGCTGCCTTGTCCTGCCCAGTTTCAGGCGACCTTGAGTGAAGGATACCAGAAACGAGAGGTGCCTTCTTCCTCTTGCTGGGTGGCAGTGAGTCCCAGGTCTTGGAGCCGCCTCTGGCGTGCAGTCTGTCATCCCACCACTCTGTGCCCAGAGAGTCGGGGTCAGGACAGTGACGCACAGCTAACTCCCACCATCTCTGTGGCTTTACCATGGACCAGCCTGGCCTCCCTTTTCCCCCATCACCTCCAGGGCAGCGGTCCCAACCTTGGGCTTGAGGCTAGCAGCCTCTGGGGACTCGGTTTCTGACTGCACACTAGTACAGGCCTGGGAAGGAGATATTGCCCTTCGTGGGTAGGCCTCAGTTTTTCCACTCACTCAGTACACGGGATGAAGGGCATTCCTGGACCCCATGTGAAACAGATGCCACCGTTATGGAGAGGACTGTGGTTTTTATATATGCATCCATGTGACAGTTGGATACCGCCCATTCTGAATGGAGGCAGGCAGGGACCCCACTCTGCTCGAGTCCCCACTATATGTGAAACACTGAGGTGAACCCAGTCCTCACAGGAAGTGGGCTGTTAGACATTCTTTATGCAGCCTGGGAAGCTGAGCTCCAAAGCTGGGGAAGGCAGTGCAGCACTGGGCCCTGGCTCACCAGAGCTAATGTCCAGGCTCTGGCGGTCCTCCTCCAGCCTCTGGATCCGCTCCTGCAGCTCCCCAAGCAGTGTGTCATACAGCAGCAGTTTCTCACTCTGGGGGGGGGGGGGGGAGAGGCGCTCAGCAGGGCACTTGTTGGACTCAGGCTCCCTCCCAGAGGCCCACATGCCCCTCACCTCTAGGTGTTGTTTGGCTCCCTGGAGCTCACACTCATATTTATTCCTGATCACATCCAGACAGAAGCCCTTGTAGATTCCTACAAAGGGGGAGAGATCTGCTTGGCTAATGTCTCCCAAAAGATCCACAAGAATAGGGAGAGGCAGGGTAGGGACAAAAGTGGCGGGTGACAGAAAACTGTGGCTTTGGGAGGGCAGGACAGCTACGGACCTGCCACCTGAATGCGGATCTTTAGGCTCTGCTGCAGCCCTCCAAGAGGCTCTGTATATTCTGGGGCTCTCTCAGCCCCCACTTCCTCTAGTCTTAAGCGCAGCTGGCTCAGCCGTTCCCTGAATAACCTGAAGGTAAAAAGGCAGCTGTGCACACCGGCTTTCCCAGTGATCACCTGCCCTCAGGCACGTGCCTGCCAGACACCTGCTCCTGTTTTTCAGCCCAGCACTGTGGCACCTGCACCCCGCTACCCAGAGGCCCGCCCCCGAGACCCCCAAGCTCACTTCTCCTTCAGCTCTGAGAACTGCTTTTCCAGGTCCAGCATCTCACTGACACACTCACTGCGGCGCCGCTCATAGTCCTCGTCGTCCATCTCTGAGGGAGAGGCCGGTTAGTGCTGCTGCCGCCGAGGGGCACGTGTGTGCGCCACAGGGCAGGGGCTCACCTGAGCTCTCCTCCTCTGACTCTGTCTGACTGCCGCTCCGCTCCTCTTCACTCTCGTCCGCCTCCCCATTCATCTCTGCTGCTGAGTCGCCTTCTGCCTCCATCTCTTCCGCTTCTTTGCCTGGAGGCTGGATGGGCATCTGGGCTCTGGGAGAGGGAGTATGGGCCATCACTCACCACTGCCTACTTACCAGAGCAGTCAAACAGGGAGCTGACCAAGCAGAAGCCTTGAGTGAAATAAGGGGAAGGGACTGTTGCTACCACACTGAACATGTATTTGGTGGGATTTGCTCCTTACAAAACCCAGTACCCGGAGTGTGGCCAAGGGTATAAGCCTCAATGGGAAAAGTGTCCCATTGCCGATGGGACTGGACCCAAGCTTCTTACTGGGTCCTACAAGACCCTTCATGGACTGGACTGAACTTTTTAAGTCCAGCTCCTTCACTTCACTGAATGGCCAGTTCTCACATCCTACCCCATTTTTTTTTGTCCATGTAATTGCTCTGCCTACAATGTCTCCAGCTTTTCTTCCCAGTACTGTCCCACAATTCTCTAGTCTTTTTTTTTTAAAGATTTTTATTTATTATGTATGTAGGTTTCTTCCTTTGTGTATCCTGCAGTACAGAAGAGGACAACAGATCTTATTACAGATGGTTGTGAGCCACAGTGTGGTTGCTGGGAATTGAACTCAGGACCTCTGGAAGAGCAGCCAGTGCTCTATTCCTCTGAGCCATCTCTCCAGCAACCTCTCTAGTCTTTCCCTACATTCTAGATCAAATTTTATCACCTGCTTCTTCAGTGCTCAGCGTCTCCTTCTCCCTACCCATCTTCAGCTCATTTCTGGCCCATATTGAAAGCTTAATCTGCAATGACATAGTGTTTACAGGAAAAGCAAAAAACCCAGCATAGCCATGACAATCCTGGACAATAAAAGAACTTCTGAAGGCATCACAATCCCTGACTTCAAACTCTACTACAGTGCTACAGTACTGAAAACAGCCTGGTACTGGCATAAGAACAGACAGGAGGACCAATGGAACCGAATAGAAGACCCAGATATTAATCTACACATCTTCAAACACCTGATCTTTGATAAAGAAGCAAAAAATATCAAATGGAAAAAAGAAAGCATATTTAACAAGTGGTGCTGGCATAACTGGATATCAACATGTAGAAGAATGAAAATAGACCCATATCTATCACCATGCACAAAACTCAAGTCTAAATGTATCAAAGACCTCAACATAAAGCCAGCCACACTGAACCTTATAGAAGAGAAAGTGGGAAGTACACTTGAACGCATTGGCACAGGGAACCACTTCCTAAATAGAACCCCAGTAGCACAGACACTGAGAGAAACAATCAATTAATGGGACCTCCGGAAACTGAAAAGCTTCTGTAAAGCAAAGGACATGGCCAACAAGACAAAACGACAACCTACAGAATGGGAAAAGATCTTCACTAACCCCACATCAGACAGAGGTCTGATCTCCAAAATATATAAAGAACTCAAGAAATTGGACACCAAAAGATCACATAATCCAATAAAGAAATGGAGTACAGACCTAAACAGAGAACTCTCAACAGAGGAATCTAAAATGGCTGAAAGACACTTAAGGAAATGTTCAACATCCTTAGTCATCAGAGAAATGCAAATCAAAACAACTCTGAGATTCCATCTTACACCTGTAAGAATGGCCAAGATCAAAAACACTGATGACAACTTATGCTGGAGAGGTTGTGGGGAAAAGGGAACACTCCTGCATTGCTGGTGGGAATGCAAGCTGGTACAACCCCTTGGATGTCAGTGTGGCGATTTCTCAGAAAATTAGGAAACAACCTTCCTCAAGACCCAATAATACCACTTTTGGGTATATATTCAAAGGATGCTCAATCGTGCCACAAGGACATGTGCTCAACCATGTTCATAGCAGCTTTGTTTGTCATAGCCAGAACCTGGAAACAACCTAAATGTCCCTTGATCGAAGAATGGATAAGAAAAATGTGGTACATTTACACAATGGAGTACTACACTGCAGAAAAAAAAATAAGGACAGCTTGAATTTTGCAGGAAAATGGATGAAGCTAGAAAACACTATATTGAGTGAGGTAATCCAAACACAGAAAGACAATTATCACATGTACTCACTCATAGGCGATTTTTAAACATAAAGCAAAGAAAGCCAGCCTACAAATCACAATCCCAGAGATCTTAGACAACAATGACACTAAGAGAGACTTACATAGATCTAATCTACATGGGAAGTAGAAAGTATAAAAAGACAAGATCTCCTGAGTAAATTGTGAGCATGGAGACCTTGGGGGAGGATTGAAGAGGGGAAGGGAGAGGCAGGGATGGGAGCAGATAAAAATGTAGAGTTCAATAAATATCAATTTAAAAAAAGAAAAAAATAGTGTTTAGAGATGAGACCCTCAGGGTTTTCCTTGTTATTCATTTAATATTCATACACACCATGGAGAGCGTGGAGGTCAGAGGGCAGCATGTAGGAGTCAGCTCTCTCCTTCCACCATCAACACTGGATATAGGTGACAGTTGCCTTACCTGCTGCACCATTTGGTTAGCCCAAGGTGGGACCTCTGTAAGGTGACTAGGTCCACCCTCAACATACAGATGCCTGATCAGCAGGAGATTCCTGGTAAGATTTGGGTCTCTCCTCCCTCCCTTCTGAAATGAGCTGTTCCAGCGAAAAGGCTCTTGCCAGACACGGGCTCCTCAGACCTAGGACTCTGAGAAATTTTTATTTTATATGTATGAGTGTTTTGAACTGTCTTTGTACCATGTGTGAGCAGTGCTTGTGAAGGAAGCACAGGATCCCTTAGAACTGGAGTTACAGACATGTATCTGAGCTGCCGTGTGGGGGCTGGGAATCGTGCCTTAATTGCTGAGCCATTACCTCTCCAGGGCATCAACACCATTTTAGAAAATTTCTGATACTAGGGATTAAACTTTTTTTTTCTTCTCAAGACAGCTATGTTTGACATAGCTGGAAAGGGTATGTCAAAGCCCCAAACAAGTAAGGAGGTAAAGGAATGAATGCATATGAAACTTGGCCGTCGTAGTAACTTCTATAGTTCCCCAGGCTTCGTACACACTTGCTCTTCTGACTTCCACCTCCTACTCTTCTGCTGTTTGGGTACCCAGTACTCACACTGAAACTACTCCGGCGGAATTATACGGCAACTTCCTTGTAGCAACTGCCAGCATTTTCCAGTGCTTGCCTTAGGTGGCCTTTCATTAACATTAAACACTGCTAAGCCTTCCCTCTCTTCCCCCTTATATTTACTAAGCACCTAATACATGTCAGGTACCAAACAGTCACACTGTGACAGACACAGTCTTTGGCCTCAAGGAAATGACAAGTTCCTGGGAGAGAAGGCGAAGAAACAGATCTTAATAATGGTGTGAAAACAGTCAAAACGAGAGTGTTATGGGAGAGGTGTCTAGACAGGATCTGGAGCTTGCTGCAGCAGTGACAGCTTCCAGAGGAAGAGAGACTAGGTGGGGGCTGGGCAGACAAGAGGGAAGAACAAGTACAAAGACCTAGAAATGAGAAAGGGACCAGGGACACGGGCATGTAGCTCCCGCTAGACCCAGGCTTCAGGAACTGGTTATCTACAGGGCGAGTTGTGCAGAGACTAGTCAGGCAGAATCGTGAGAAGGGGTCTGTGACAGAGCGCCTAAGGTCAACAAACAAAAGAGGGGCAGGAGAAGCCGCTGCAGAAATAGACCGGAGAAGCTCAAAGTCAGGGAGCTGAAGAGATTTCCAGAATGAAGGAGAGGTGAGAGATTGGTGCGCCAGAGCACCTGGGAGATAAGCCATCCCGGAGGCAGCTGCTCTCTCTGCCAAGAGCGGGCTTCTACTCCATGCGGATGGTATTCCTATGTCTCCAGCTGCTGCTCTATGAGTCTTCCCGGTGGGGTGGACCACATTCCCTCCTCCAGGGCCCCAGAAAGCTTTCTGGCTCTCCATTTCCTACTCTTCCATTTTCATGTCCATCCACCTGGCGAATGAGGAGGCCTCACCAGGGCAGGGGCTGCGCCACTGTCTTACTCAGCCAGGACAATCCCAGCACACCTGACGACCAGAGATCCAAACACGAATTAAACAAAAGAAACCTTCGCAGTGCAGGAATTGCCTTTTACTTCTTTTCTTCATGGTAACCCTACTTACGGCGGTGGCTACCCATTCAACTAATTATAAGTGATGGACCTGTAGAATAGTTTAGTTAGCATTTCCTCCTGCTCTGAAAACCCAGCTCTCCAAAACAGCCTGACTGGTCCCCTTCTCTGGTCTCGGATCCCTGCGCTGCCAATCCCTTTTCACTGTTAAGTGTATGTCCTTTCTTAGATGCAGCGTCAAGTCTTAAAGATATCCTTCTTCCAGCTGACTCTGATTCTGACTTCGTTGAATGAAGTCGTAACCATCTCTCCTTAACCCAGGTACAAACAGGGCGGATATACCACTGCTGAAGGGGCACACTGTAAAGAGCGCGGTGCATATGCACCTCCAGAGCAAGCCTCCAGGAAGGGTAGACTCATCCCTACAGACGCAGAAAACAAATACAGCTTCTCTGCGGCGTTCCGGGAGCATCCAGCCGCGATCCACCCTCACTCTCACCGGCGCTGGTCAGGGAACCGCGGGCTCCCCTAAGGCCAGCGCGCGAGCCGGACCGGTTAAGTCTCCGCTTTGGTTCCGACCTGGGAAGCCGAACCTAGCGCCAGGCATGACCATACGCACCGTAGGGGCTGGGGTCTCGGGCCTCACGTCCGAGACTCCCCGAGAGCTGTCGGACCGGGTGGAAACGCCGCCGCCGCCGGTCTCAGGGACAGAGCTGCGCTGGTCTCCCTTTCTCCAGGAGGTGCCGACGCTTCCGTGTGCGTCATCAGGAGGCGCCCGTGGCAGAGCTTACTAATGAGCACTGGTGTTCAGGCATGCCGGGATACCGCGGGCGGGTCTCCATAGCAACCGGCCCACTGTCTCCCAGGCCTCTAGCCTGCCAGAGCATCGTGGTCTGTGGCCTAGGGTCCACCGCCGACAACACGATGCTCCTGCCCACAACCCCTCCGCTCAGGAGAGTAACCGAGCCAGCTGTGGGTCTGAACGCTCGTGTATTTACACAATGTCAAACGAAGGCAACCTACTGGAGGGCCCAGAGCTGAGGCTTTACCCCCAACCCTCACCCCGGGGCCTACGGACCCTTCCCTCCTTCAGGGAGCTCGGAAGGGCGAAGGTGGAAGAAAAGCAGGAAGCTTAAGTTCTAGCCCAGTCTGAGCACTGCATTCCATGTTTTCATCTTTCTTTCCAAAAAGCTCGTTTTATTAAGTACTCAGGATTCTCAGATTTATTTCAGTCATACATTTTGCTCTGCTATCCACCCAACATTGTTAATAATAACAATATAATAATAACAATAGTAACACTGTAATAATATTAATAATAGTTCACATTTGTACGAAGCTTACAGGATGTTTTCACATACAGCGTCTCATCTGAGCCAACAGTTCTGTGAGGTAGGTATTTTCACCTCCCATTTTACAGACGGGATAATGGAGGCTCAGAGAGGTAACAGATTTTGTTCAAGGCCACACAGCTAGTTAGTGGTAAAGCTAGGACTTGATCCCAGCACCCCAAAGTCAAGTCCAGTGTTCCACAACCACAGCTACCTCTGTAAAGTGGAGGGGTGTTTCTTACCCCAGTCAGGCCTGAGGAGCCAGATGCTGAAAATTCTCAGAGCACGGGAGGAGAGAAGTCAGCATCGATGGGGAGAGTTGGGGTACTTAGCCTTCAACTCCTGTTTGAACTGGCGGTAAAGGATCTTATTGCGCTGGTTTTCAGCCTCCTTTTGGGGATGGAACTTCAGTGCTTCTTTGAAGCCCTTATGAACCAGAAAACCTTCGTTCAGCACCTCAAAATTAAATCCTGCTACGTGCAGCTCACAGGCCTGGAGAGAGAAGAGAGAGGGGAGAGATAGGAGAGGGAGACAGAGAGGGGGGCGGAGAGAGACAGAGAAAGAGAGAGGAGAGGAGGGAGAAACAGAGAGACATAGACAGAGGAGAGACAGAGATAGGAGAGAGAGAGAGAAGAGAAAGGGAGGAGAAGACACACACACACAGAGGGAGGAGAGACAGGAGAGGGAGACAGAGGGGGGAAGAGAGAGACAGAAAGAGAGGAGAGGAGGGAGAGACAGAGAGACATAGGCAAAGGAGAGACAGAGATAGGAGAGAGAGAGAGAAGAGAAAGGGAGAAGACAGAGAGAGAGAGAGAGAGAGAGAGAGAGAGAGAGAGAGAGAGAGAGATATCACAATAATTTAAGGACATCCCCTCCAGGGCCCAAACAGTCATCCCTAAAGCTTCACTCCACCCCCTACACCCCATTTGGGAATTCTACATCATCCCACCACTTTTCTCTTGCTTCATGGCCTCCTTTCTATCAGTGGCCACTCCATCCCTGACAAACCTCCAGCCCCAGTCCCACCTGCCCTCTCCGTTTTAGTCACCTGACTGATTCGATTGAAGCCATACTGCCGAAAGCGCTCATCAAAGGTGGGCACCTTTCCTCCAGCCACATAAAATGGTTCCCAGGGGTCCCGCCAGGGCACCACGTAGGCAGGTCTCAGCAAGCTCTCTTCTGGCAGGTTGACCCAGCGGGAGTAGTTGGTGGGCGCATGGCAAGGCGTGCATAGCCCATAATAGAAAGGCCGGACTTCGCCCACCTGATAGAGTTGTACTAGCTCATTCTTGTTCATCGGCATCCGGCGGGTTCGGCGGATTTCAAACGCAGGCACCACCAGGGCCATGCCATCCCAGTTGTTACTCTGATCCAACATTTCCCTCAGGCCTCTCCACAGTCCCTCGCTGGGCACCATGTCCACATCAATCACCAGGGCATAGTTGGCCTCTTCTCGAGCCAGATTCCGTAACAAGTTATTGGGGTAGGAGATGTTGGTACCCAGTGCATAATTAATCCCGGGCTGGGCCACCCTGGCTAGCTTGTCAAAGACCTCCTGGCAGGACCGCAGCAGGGCAAATTCCCCAGGCTCCCGGGGGTCGGGCACAGCAGCCTCATAACGCGAGGGGCACACGAGGTGCATGGCGACCCTGGCACGCATCTCAGGACAGTGGCTACTCAGCGCATAGGCCAGCACCGTGGCCAGCTGTGCCTCCTCTTTGGTGGCTGCGAACACTGATACGGACAGTGGGCCCTCCCAGCGCTCCAGAAGTCCGGACAGGTGCAGCAGGTTGTCCACGCTAGCATGCGTGGCTAAGACGACATCGTTGGGGTCTACGGTGGTCTTCAGTAGACCCCTGTAGACGCGATAATCGCCGCTGGCATCCAGAACGCCTCCAGAGGCCAGAGCGGTGCGGAGTTGAGACTTTACCTGGTCCACGGATCGCGGGGACGGCGGGAAGAACTCGAAATACTGTTCCTGCTCCTCCTGCCCGTGCAGTCCGGAGAGCAGCGACAGGTAGAGCAGCTGCAGCATTGCCACCAACATGAGGGCGGCCAGCAGCAGCTGGTAGAAGGCGCATCGGATGGCGTAGGACATTTGCATGGCTTTCGGGGCTCCCGGCGCGAAGCGGAGACCACCGGGCCGTAGCCTCGGCCAGCCACCGCAAGCCCCGTTTTACCGCAGCCTGCCGAACGCAGCCGAGGCCAGCCGAGGCCAGCCGAGCCCAGCGCTCAACCCCGCCCTCGGTCTGCACGCCTCCATCTAGGAGCGGGCCAGCTCGCCCTCTGTGAGAGAGGAGGAGCTACTGCAGCGGTCGCTGTTCTGCGCGCGCTTTGCAAACGCCGAACCTAACTGCGGTCACGTCCGTGCGGCCGCGGACCCCTGGCCGCAGCCCTCTCCCGTGGGATCCGGACGCAGACCCCCCGGAACAAGCGCGTCCGGAAACCCCAGTTCGCTCACCGGGCCTCGGGAAGTGTAACCCGTGCAGAGCTCAGCTGTGACTCAGTCAACGATGGCGCGGTTCCCGACTGAAGCCCTTGGAGAGGAAATTTAAAAAACCTCTTTGTTACTGTTTCTTATTCCTCTAAACTTTTCCAGGTGGGTACTAGGAACGTGGATGGAAGCGTGCAGGAGGTGCGCGTGAGATGAGGGATATGGGAATGTGGAAAGAGGTATTTTGTGTGGGACGAGGTGGCCGAGTGGTTAAGGCGATGGACTGCTAATCCATTGTGCTTTGCACGCGTGGGTTCGAATCCCATCCTCGTCGGTCCCATTTTATAGGGAAAAGGCTTCTTAATTTTCCACGTCCCTCCTGTCTTGAGCAGCAAAATGAAGAAACTTGGTGTCCGATAAGGTCGTATTTGCCCACCAACCGACCTTGTGTCTGGTGGGTACGTATTCCAGCTTTCAGAACGTGCCACGGGATGGGGCGCTGCTCCGCTTTTCTTTCTCCTAAGGACAGCGCAGAGGTGGCTGCCATCTAAAACTGGTAACGGGATTTTGCCCAGCAGCTCTTCGCTTGATGTTATCTGCTAATCCTGCGCTACCGTTTCCTCTCTCTTCCCCCAGGATGAAAGCATTTTATCTACACACAGTTGCCCCAACACACACCCATTGAAGCAGAAGGCTTGTGCAACACCAGCCACTGTACACTGAAGGCACCTAGTGTTTGTGGATGAAGGGAACCATGAAATCTTTAGCAGAAGCGTGGGGGAAGGGCATGCACTTCAAAAGCTTCAGCAATTATACTTAATAAATATTTGAGTTTTTTAAAACCAAGTCAGGAGACATCCTTAGGGCAGAACGCTGTGTGTCTTTGTAAGGAGCACTGGAGTGGCAGCGTTGGCTGGTGTGGGTGGGGGCTTCCACAGACTGTCAGGGCCCAAATATTCGGGAGACCTAGTACCAGCTCTCTGCCAAGGCTGTGCTGGGCGCTGGGGCAGGGTCTGCACATGCAGGTTCTGCACTTTTCACTGAAGACAGGCTTCGGAGAAAAGTTCGGAACCTCTCAGCACAGGTTTTGTAGACACAGCGTTCAGAAATGAGACTTTGTGCCCTGTGAGGATTTCGTTTTGTTTTCTGGAGTCAGGGTTTCTCCGTGTAGCTCTGGCTGTCCTGGAACTCACTCTGTAGACCAGGCTGGCTTCCAACTCAGAGATTTGTCTGCTTCTGTTTTTAACTTTTTTTCTTCACAAACGGAGCTTTTAGAATACTAAACTTTGTAAAAGAAATACTATTAAAACACAGCTTCAAAATAAATAGTGTACACAGAGGAAAGGCTTGACAGCTTTTGTGGGCTGAGAAGGGGCTGCAGCGGAGGGAGGTGAAGTGAGCATGCGCTAGAGCAGGCACTGGGTGCTGCTCCACTCTGGGTAACCCCTGTTTTGTTTTATTATTATTATTTTAAAGAGTATCTCGCTACTGTAGTCCAGGGTGGGCTTGACCTTGTGAACCTCCTGCCACCACCTCTGGAGTGCTGGGATCATAGGTTTGCACTGTAGCCTGCACATCTGGAGTGCTGGGATCATAGGTTTGCACTGTAGCCGGCACATCTGGAGTGCTGGGATCATAGGTTTGCACTGTAGCCGGCACCTCTGGCTACTTCCTTCTTTTACTGTTTGTGTTTTCAAGATAGAGGTTTTCTTTTTGTGGTTTACTTGTTTGTTTGTTTGCTTGCTTTGAGACAGGGTCTCTCTATGTAGTCCTGGCAATCCTGGAACTCACTGTGTAGACCAGGCTGGCTTCCAACTCACAGAGAGTCCTCCTGCCTCTGCCTCCTCAGTGCTAGCATTAAAGGTGTGCACCACCAAGTCTGCCCTGAGATAGTCTGAGTATGGAGTCCAAGGCTGTCTTCGCATTGATTCTCTTGCCTTATGTGCTCCAATGCTGAGATTATAGCATGCATACTATGTCTGACTCAAAATCTGCTTTAAACTTTGGAATA